CTTCAATGCCTGTTGCTCGGAGAGGCTTGCAGCTAAGATCACGCAGATGGCCAACACTCGCCAGGTGTTTGTCATTCTTGATTTTTGTTTTGCTTGGATGGACATTTTGCTGTAGGGAACAGAAAAAAGAGAAGGGAGGGTCAAATTTTAATTTTGAACAGCATCTGAAAACTGTTGAAATCCTGCACCATTTTTTAGTAATCTCAGATATATTTTTTATGTTTTATCCTGTGATGTCAGTCTTCCTCTCCTACTTAACCTTCTCAGCTCTACAACTACGGTGTGTTGCTCATCCTTGGAGTACAGCCATATCACTTGTCAAGAGCCATATAGGACCATTCTTAGTATCCTGCTTTTCTATAGGCACATTGGCTATGGCTCTCACCTCTTCCATCTCTCACATTACACTTCCTCTCAGCAAAGAAGGTACAGCTGGATGTTTCAGCTCTAAATAGGAGAAGATGGTTAGATCACCAATGATCTGGATGAGGGGTTCAAGTGCACACTCACTTTGCAGACAACACCAAGCTGGGTGGGAGTGTTGATCTGCTGTAGGGTAAGGAGGCTCTGCAGAGGGATCTGGATTGGATGGATCCATGGCCTGAAGTCAATTGTATGAGACTCAACAGAATGAAGTACCATGTGCTGCACTTGGATCATAACAACCCCACGTAGCACTAAATGCTGGGGTCAGAATGGCTGGAAGTCTTCCCAGCAGAAAAGGATCTGGAAGCACTGGTCAACAGGCAGCTGAATATGATCCAGTACATGTCTAGGTGGCCAAGAAGGCAAATGGCATCCTGGCCTGTATCAGGAACAGTGTGACTAACAGGACCAGGGCAGTGATTGCTCCCATGTACTTGGCACTGGTGAAGTCACACCTCAAATAGTGTGCTCAGTTTTGGGCCTCTCACTTCAAGAAGGACATTGAAGTACTGGAGTGTGTGCAGAGTGGGGCAATGGAGCTGGGAAGAATCTAGAATGTAAGTCTTAAGAGAATCAGCTGTGGGAGCTATAGTTGTTTAGCCTGGAGAAAAAGGAGGCTCAGAGGGGACTTTATCACTTTCTACAACTGCCTGAAATTAGTCTGTAGTCCGTGGGGGAGTGTAGTGAGTGGGGGTCAGTCTCTCCTCCCAGGTAACAAGTGATAGGAAAAGAGGAAATGGCTTCAAGTTGCATCAAGGGAAGTTTAGACTGGATATTAGGGAAAAAAAAAAAATATAGAAAGGGCAGCCAAACATTGGTACAGACTGCCCAGGGAAGTGGTGGAGTCACTATACCTAGAGGTATTTAAAAGACATGCAGATATGGTGCTTAGGGACATAGTTTAGTGGTAGGCTTGGCAATATTTGGTTAATGGTTTGAATCAATAGTCTTAAGGGTCTTTTTAAACCAAAGTGATTCTGTGATTCTCTGATTACAAACACTCACAGCCCATGCAGCGTCAGCCTGCCCATTCTCTGTGGCTACATGGCAGGCAGAAGCCCAAACAGAGCCTGCTCTCCCTCTCAGCCCTTCTAGTGGGCTGAGGTTTCCAACATTACAAACTTTCCTGGAAGAGATCTGGGGATCCCCTGCATGGAGTCTCACCAGCCTCAGGGCTTCTAAAAGCAGAGCTCTTGCCACGCCCTTTTGCACACTGTGTAAGCAATTCACAATCTTTACTGGAAAGGCAGAACAACCTGATATGAAATGAAGGCTATCAGACTTTTCTGTAAAACAACACCAGTCATAGATGGGACATGGATGTTACTGTCACCCTATAAACAGTGGATATAATTAGAACAATACTGATTTTAATGTAAAGAAGGGCTGTGTTTCCTGCCACAGGTGCCAAAGAACACTTCACCGAGTTTGAACCGCAAACAGTTCCAGTAGTGCACATGAGCAGTACCCATAAACCCTGAATAAGCAGAGGTTAAGTACTTACCTTGTGTGCTGCATGCTGTATTTCAGTCACCTCGTGTGTTTGTCAAACCATCTGAATGGTCACCTTATACCTGCAAACACAACAAAAGCTGGACATTTTTGGCAGGTCTGATGACGTGACAGTCCCGAAGCGAGAAAATATTTCAGCCTCAAAATAATTGCTCTCTTCAAACAAAAATACATGTTCCCAGTTTCCCACTGTCCTTTAACTACGCAGTCAGTGAATCATACTCGTTTGCATCTCTTCTTTCTAGTGGTGGCTCCCCTGAGGAAACCATGGCTTCTGAAGAGTGCAGGATTGTCCAGCATGTAGGGCTCACCCATCAAACTCACATTTCAACCAATTCTACCATTGCTGCTGACTGGGGACACAAAAAATGAGAACAGATTGCAGTTGAATGCTCTTCTTTGAAAGATAAAATTTAGTGTCAGTCTCTTTTTTTTGTCAGTAAACTCCCATTGCTGGAAAGGCTGATGCAACCATGTTGCGCAAGCCATTCTTTCACAATCACTTCCTCCATTTTAAGTGCAGAAATAGTTCCCGGGCAGAACTGCATTCACCTCCCTGTATCTCTACTTTCAATACCTTTTGTCTGGTAGGCACTGGGGGTTGTTCACTGTGCTGAGAAACAGAACATCTCAGCACAACCAACTTATGTAAGTTCTGTAAAATATTATCAATATATAGTGATGCATTTATTATATTAAGTGTTGAAGTCAAATTGTTTAGTCAAGGAGGGTGCTATAGAAACACTCAGCATCCCTTAATTTCCTAGGACATACAGTCATATGTTGTCAAGAGAAAATGAGTAAGAACGGGAATGATATTCTGTCTGAAGCACAAGACACAGACCCAAGCAAAGTAGTTCCCTGTAAACATCAAAGGCAATTTTGAGAGAGGAGGTTTGATGGCATTCATTTTAACCTGACTGTGGTTGGTCAAATGGCCAAGTATGCTGTTTGCATAAAGGGGCAGTGAGCTGTCCTACTGTTAGCGTTCAGGAACACACATAATCACAGGATATGATTATATGCAGGTGCTTTTATTGAAGAGCTCTGGGAATCAGGGGTACAGACCCAAATCTGACTCTGACATGGCTTTTGAGCTGAACATATTTTATATTCTATTGTTATATAACTTACATATTAATTATTAAACTTATATTGTTCTGTTGTATACACTGATCTTATTCAAGCATGAATCTCTCATGATCTCTCTCAAGTCCTTGAACACAGCTTCTCATGATTATTCTTACAATCAAACAGTAATTATATGTAATTACTAAACAATTATCGCATCTAACAATTATATCATTTATCATATACTGGTTACACAGGTGCAGTTCTAGCAAGTACAAGGCCCATACTTTCCCAGGGTGTTTTCCCAGGGCCTACTAAGCCTAACTTTCCTTCTAACTCCCCAAATCCCCATGATTTTAAAACCCTTTTACTATCACTACCAGCTTTGAAAGGAAAGTCCATTAAATTAAACACTAACATTCCTATTGCATTTACCAATTTTTTTTCTGTGTTCAAAAATTGTCACCTTTTGCTGCCCTCTTGCACCAAGAGGTACCTGCCGAGAGCAGACGGATGGACAGATTCCTGCCACTTGTCAGAGGGCCCACAGCAGCAGTGTGATCAAGGGTGGCAAAGCCCACAGAGAGCACAAATGCACCTCATAGCAACCTTCAGTTCCACTGCACTAACATTAGCATTGCACATTAGGTTAAGAAAAAAGAAACTGGAAGACTGAGATACCCTTGTATTTTCTGTCTACTACAGAGGATAGCTGATAAGCATAACATTGTAAAATAGAGGCAACAGCAGCTGTGGGGCAGAGAGGAGAAGGGAAATAGTCTTTTAGTGAAAGGATGTCATTAACTTCCCCAAAGACACCTCTTCTCTCTAGCAGCTGAAATGGTTCTTGCTCTTCAATAGGGAAGCCTTCCATTTTTAAAATATTAGCTCTGGGTTCAATGAGACTTGCTATTGTATATTTTTGTCTTCAAAATTGCATCTCTCTGATGCAGTAAAAAATTTTAATTAATTTGGGAAGCGTTTTGGAAAAGAAGACCATGTACATAATTCAGTGTGAAATGGGCACACTCTTCTATCTGTTACAGCTTCATCACCACACATTTGTGGAGAATTGAGGTAGGCACCAGCTGTTTTTTTTCAGAAGAAGCCACTTTCTCCTAACATCCAGGCTCAGCCAGCTCTCATCACAGATGGATCTACACTGGGCCAGGTTTCTAGTTTCTCTCAGTAAGAGAGGACAGGTGTGACTGTACCACAGTTCACATACCAAGCAGTCCGTTTCAGCAAGCTGCTTAAAATGCCAAGAAATGTGGGCAATTGTCAGGGTTTATCACATTATCCAGACTTAGGAAGGTTTGAGGATGTGCAAAAATGCTTTCCACAAGCTACTCCACACACACAGACAAGGTACCAGCCACCTGCCTCCCAGAGCATTAGTTTTGAAAGTGAGGTGCAGCATGGCTCAAAAAAACTTTTGAAATCAAAGACTCAAAAGCAGGAGAAAGCTGTCCTTTAAGATGAGAATACTCTTCAACTGCTTTTTCTCCAGAGTAACTGCATGTTTAGCATTGAACAAAGATGCACCTTGTAGGTGTTTTCTCTCTTCTCTTCGAAGTTTAAGCTATGATTAACCTTCCTCTTTAATACTGTTTAAAACAAGTCGCATGCCTTTACCTACACTACGTTTTCCTAAGAGAAGCAAGTGGCTCTGCAACAAAGCTGTGCTTTTATAACTGCAGATGTTCCAAGCACAGACACTTCACAAGCCTTTACCAGCAGTAGATGGGGATTAGATAGAGATGTGGTCACTATTCTGAAGCTGGCTTGCTTTAAATGTTCCCGTTTATCCAACAGCAGCACAAGCAGTACTCAAAATGGGCATGATGAACTCTTTAAGCACTTCCTGTTCCCAGACTCACAAGGAAGGATCCTGCATTCCCCTACCCCCACCCCCTTCTTCTCTTTCCTTCTCTGTGTCAGTGTCCACATTGAGAGCTTGCCTGTTGCTCTTCTGCTGAGAAAGGACAAGTGAGCAGTGCAGAAGGGACCTAATCCAGGTCCCAGATCCCTGCCTCAAAGAAAAAGCAAAAGCAGTAGAAAAGGGAGGGAGGAATGAAACTATTGACCAGCCTGTGATGCAAGCAGAAAGCACACTTTCTCAATCTTTGTAAACAGTACAAAACTGCTTCCTCATACTTACCACTGATAACAGGGATGTGTCAGTATGTCAGCTTGGCTGCAGCAGTGTCAGGCAGGCTGAATCTGGGATGCTCTTACCCTAAGTGCCGCCAGAAAAGGATGGCAAGGAAAAGCCAAAAGTCAAATCTGTCCTTGAAGTCTTTGGAGCAGGAGGTATAACATTCAGGTAATGGAAAGCAGAATGGCTTGGCATCCTTTCATAGCCTTGGGAATAGATTCTTCGCATGCACTGCTGGTGTCTGTGTTTTAATATGTCTTGCAGAGCTTCAGGTATTCATCTTCAAGCTACAGCAAAAAGGTACATGATAATGAAAAAGAAAGATTTTAACTTTGTTGTGTTCCGTATCAGGCCTACCCTGCCAGCTGCTCAATCCCCTGGTTAGATTTTCAGACTGGAAGTTTAAATGCGAAGGACCCAGTTACCTTTGTTTTTCTTCTGGGCAATCCTTACCCTGCAGTTTTGGCAGAGCACAATAATGATATAACTGGTTAGTCATTCAGCAGCTAGCCTACAGCACTGCCTCTGCCAAGGAAGCAGAGTTGTGGATTTATTTTTGTCATATCCTTCCTGAAAGCTTTCAGTCAGAAAAACACAACACTGATTTTCTACCTTGACTGAGGAGCATTTTGCAGGGAACTTTACAAGCTAAGACACCAAAGCTTATCTTAATGATATGGAAAGTTTCATTTTTCTAGAGCAGTTGTAACAGCATGACTCAAAAGAGAAAATGTAATTTCTACCAAAACATTTCTGGTGAGTTCTTGACTCCCAAGGAAACTGCTTCAACAGGAAACAGCCTACATGCAAGGCAAAGCTGGACAACACAGTTCCTTTCTTACTTTGCCCTTTAGGTACATTGAAAAAAATTTGTTTCTTATAGGAATACTAGGATATACAGTAAATACATATTTTCCAGTAATACACAATGGAAAAAAAGGCACGTTTTGACACCCTATTCTGAAGAACACTGTGACAAACATACTAAAATCCTGTTATCACCACACAGATTTGTTTCTCCAAGACGAGAACTCTGAGACAACTCAGAAGGTACTGGAAGCTCAGAGTTCAGCCCAAATGTACTTAGGCAGGTAGGCTCCCAACTTGCTGCTGCTGGGGATCCATCCCCTAAAAACAGACATAATCTGAAAATCAAATTTTCTGCCATTTTCATAATGTTACAAAATTATCAACATACAAAGCTTGTTCTTAAGCTTTTTTAGAGATCTTCAGGAAATACTTCTGTGTAGCTTTCTCAAGTACCACTCACACAGTGTTTTGAACTAACTTTTTTTTTGCTCTACAGCCACCTATCTTTTGTGTTGTTGAGTTTGCTTTGCTGTATCCTAGGCTGTTTGGCCTAGAGGTCATCTAATATGGGCTGCCCAGAATGGTATTTGGACACCTAAGCCATATTTCCAGTTTTTTAAAAAGATGTGCCATTCCTGTTTCCAAAGATTTTGTAGGATTTTGGACAGAGCCACAAACACTTATGGCTATGGGCTCCCAGCACAAGCTGTAATACCAGGAGGGCAGGATGGGGAAAAGAGAGGAATGGGATCTCTTATGCTCACTGTTTGGACAACTTCTGCTTCATTTCATCTCACCAGGAGAGAAAGTACCCTGTCACAGCCCACCGGGTGCAAGTCATCACTGGCAGGCTCTTGTGAGGAAGTTAGGCTTTAACATCCTGACACCAGAATTTCCCATAAGGAGGAAAAAAGCTTTGCTCAGCTCCAAGTAAAAGCTCCTTCAAGAGAGGCTGGGCAAAATGACATACATGTTGATGCATTCCAGTGTGGGAAGGTCCAGCAAACCTAGTCTCGCCTCATTCAGAGGAATGCATGAACATATTTTGTGCTTACACCCAACTAGTGCTAATAGGCTGAAAAAAGTGTTTTCTTTTTCCTGTTTTGCTTTGGGATTTTTGTTTCTTGGGGGTTTTTTAATGGAAGGGAAACATTCCTGGGAATGGGACCAAGTAATTGCAGAACCAGAGTTTGTTTCCTGTACGGAGGTGGAAAGCACTTTGCTGGGATGCAGAGATACATATTTAACTGCTTGTTATGGGATGCAGAGATACATATTTAACTGCTTGTTATACAATAGAAAAAAAATTGTGTTTAACAGTTGGGTAAGAATCTGAGCAGGAAATGAAGCAGATCATTATCATGCACCATAAAAATATCAAGATTTTTGTATTTGTTCCAAAAAAGATAATGCCAGGATGTATTTTGCACAGGTAGTTCAAGCTTTGCATTCAGCTGCTGACTCCCCCTGTATCTGACACCGTGGAATATTTTAGACATGACAGTGGATTTCAGAAAGAGAAAAATAGGCAATTCCAAATCTTTTTTTCTCAGCTATTCAAGATTTCAGAAGTTTGTTCTTCAGTGTATCTACTTTTCTGGATTTACAGCCTATCAGAATGCCACATTTTTTTAAAAATACAAAAATATCTAAGGTACTGCTTCCTGGGGCTTTTTCACTCACTGGAATAACAACATGTTTTGTGAGTCTCTTGCAGGGATTGTTTCTATTGCCTTCTTTTGCAATTGTATAATTTTTAAACAAACTTTTTAGAAGCTTGACTTCAACTGAGTTGTAAACAGGCATGGAAACATAATTTCTATTGAAAAAGAAAAGCCTGATCATAAAAAGATGTCAGTAAGTATTTTAAATGTGTGTGTGGTTTCTGATAGGGCCACCAAATCATCTTCAAATAATAAGTTATTTCCAATATTGGACCATTCTCTGACTTTCTGAATTTGAACATGATTGAAAACAGACAGTCCAAGCTGATTTTCAAGCACACATTTAGCTATTTTAATAATTCCTTCTAAATTATCTTCAGATGGCATTTCTTGCTCTTCTGTAAATTTTCTTGACTGTAGCAGTACCAGCTTGGTAAGGACAGGTTCAGAAAAGACCATGTAGCTTGTGCCTGTGCTGCCAGATGCCTTTTTGTCTTTATCACAGTATCTACAGAAAGAAACACACCATACCAAAACCAAAGCATTTTCTACTGCTGTGAAATATCTGTATTTACAAACTTTTAGCTGAATGGCCCTCTAACATCCTCAGTAAGTTACACGGATGTGACAGGAAGAGCATGGCAGTGCTGTGGCAATGCAAGAGAGGGTTGTAGCACTGCCAAAAGGACTTGTGTATATCTCAGTAAGTATGGAAAGCATGGCAACTCATGCTTTCAAGTAATTTTACATCTTTTGGACAGAAGAGTTATCAAAGGAAGACGAATCAGAGAAAATATAGGTAAAAAACCAGCAAACAACAACCAAATTCCATCTCCATAGATGAAACTACATAGCTCCACAGCTAGATCTCCATAGCTCCGAACTACAGGACTAGAATAAGTTGGTTGAGAGATAGCCATAAGGTAATAGAATTTATCTACCTTACATCTGCTTTACCATGGGAAAGAACATCAAATTAGATGCACTCTGCTACCTTGTATCAATTCCAATTCTAGTCCTTCAATGCTTAACTCACCATGAAGTTTGCACCTGTGGGCATAAGAAGATCTTTGTTTCTTTGGGTCTTATTATCCAATGTCTACCCAACAGACTTGCCACCTGGTTTGTTTTCGGCTTATAACTTAACACTAGTGTCAACATAAATATTCTTTTCTATTTATAGAAATTATGTTGATTTACACTTCTTTCATGTGCTATTTTTATGACATAATTTAAAATCAATTTCCTGAATGCTCCATGATTAATAGTGTCAACAATTTTTTCTAAAATACGTTCTTCAGAGTACTTTATTTCTCTGGGGTTCATTCCTTGAACTCTTTGTTCCCAGCTCACATCTGGGACTGAAAGGCCAGGCAGAACATACTGAGATGTACTACACTCTGTTAAGAGGCATCTCTCTTGGTGATCTCTCTGATGTCTCCATGTTTGCCTCTAACACTGTCCTCTCTGATATTTGCAAGGCCTTCCAGCTGAACAGAATTTTTCAAGAGTCACTAACAAAAATGCAATGAGTAATAGGAGAAGGAATTAATAAAGTAAAGGTTGGCTGGACTTTTCTCCCCTGCTGTTCAGTTGTCTAAACTTTTCTGTAAAAAAAGTATTTCTCATACTTCTCATGATGAAGCCCAGCCTGTGAATGAATTTGGCTTGTTCCCTGTTTCTGCAGGTGGAGAAATTCTGCCTCCCGGCTGGGCAGCCCTTTCCTTTTCAGGGGGAACTCAGTAAGGAGCTCATAACTTCTCGCTGAGTAACAGGACAACACTGATACCAGAAAGTTAGGGTGAGTCAGGTCTGCAACTGGATTAAGGGAGAAGGGAACGTTTCCATTCGTTTTGGCTTCTCATGTTGGAACAGTCAGACATCTGTGAAGGACCTGCTTTGTGCTCCCCTCTGCTTTTTACTCCTTGCAGGAAGGCCCCAAATAAATGCTCCATCCCCCAGGAATGCCACCAATAATAAAAAAAATCCCTCTCCAATTGCTCTCCCTAACTCTGCTGGCACAATGACAACTGCACACTCTGCCAGAGTTAACAAGCAGGCACATTAATCCCCCCTCTTGCTAGAGAGTCTTTCCAGACCTGCCCCAGCTTTCTGTCAGTTGCTGTGCATGGAGGCAGGTTTATTCCAGGATGATTCCTTGCAGGCATATTTGCAGGAGAATGCCAAGTGTGCACCTAATCTGAAACGACTGAAGCCCTCGGAGGCATGGGACCAGCTGTGCCGTGCGGCTGGCTCTTTCATTTGCAATTTTTCATTCGTGTGGTTTACTTTGGCTGCTCGTCTTTGGTAAACATTGTACAACACTGAAACCAGGAAATACCCAAAATAAATAAAGAAATGGACTATGATTAATAGACCTTGCTTTGTCTTTCCAAGGATCTGCCTTGCTCAGATTCTTGCCATCCAAAGAGGAGCAAAGCCTCCCTGGGATCCTATCAGGAGTGAAGGACACCTCTAGCAGGGAAAGAGGGAAGGAGGCAAGGGATGGGGAAGCTGCTGGTCTCATGCAACCACACTCAGACTGGTTGAGCAAGCCTTTGGAAATCACAGGCAG